TAACCTGTACACGTTTATTGATCTTGAGGTTATAACCAAAACATATGCTTGCTTTAATGGTTCTTTTTTGAAAATTTGAAGAAAAAAATGAAGGGTAAAAAAGTCTTTCCATCGATTAATGTCAAATTTAACGGCATTGACTACTAATAGGAGAGAGGTTTAAGTCTTTATCCCAAAATTTTATCAAACAACAAGTCTTTCAGTTCAGCAACTTGATTTTATCTCTCTTAATAATCTACTAATTGATGTAAATCTCATAGTTAAATAATGAAATCAACCTTTCTCTCCTATTTTTTTAAATTTTACACTAACCAATGAGGTGCAATATATATTGGAAGCTACAACTTAGGAAAAATTTCTATGGTAAAGATATATAATGATATTAGTCCTGGAGTCGAGACTTGAGATCCCCATGATATCTAATAATAAGAAAGCTGCTCTACATTATACATTGAAATTAATGCATGAGAGAGAGACCTGATGAACTCAACTCTATCTCAAGTGGTGATAACCGGTCTTTGGTTCGTAACTTGCATTTTCTAGCTTCAATCGATACATTTGGCTAAAGATATTATTCAATCTAATGGTGTTGGCAAGTTAGCTCATAAACCAATAACGTTAATTAATTGGTGGTTGGCAAATAGTCACGGGCATCCCCGGCCCAAGAGGTAGCGAGAGAGTAGGCCGGCCACTCGCTCATTTCTCAAAAGTGGACACTGGAGTACAGGGAACGTAGCCATGGAATTAAAAGAAGAGCATCGTCGATCGTCATTTCTATGGAGATGGCGTAGGCTTTAAGTATAAATCAAAGAGATCCACTATGGATAATAATCAAGATTTAAAGTATCGGAAACGTAATGTATATCGGAGAGATAATTTTAAGAGATGTATCGAGATATGCTTAAGATATGTATGGATACATTAAGAAACTCAAACAAATCCTAAAAACCTATGTTAATTACAATAAATATGAGTTTTATATCACTATAAATAAGTTATTTAAACATAAAAATCTATATTTTAGTGATTTATACAAAGTGTGAAGTATTGAAACATATTTTGAAACTGTTGGAAACTGATGAAATAATTAAAATGTTTGTGTATGCATACATACCATAGTATTTAAAGAATCAATATAATTTGTATTAATATTTACTATTTTTTAGAAAATACGACCGATTCGCCTATTGGACCAGTTGGACCATGACTAGATTGGGTTAAAAATTTGCCAAAATTTCCGACCCGAATAGTCAAACTCAAAAACTAGTGAATTAGTCTTGGTTTTAGAAAAACAACTAATTTTTTAAATTGTTTTAGCACATTAATGCGAACTTTTAAAGGCCATAACTTTTTGCTAAGATGTCCTATTGCAATGACCTTTGTTTTTATTTTGGGTAACTTTTCGATATAGGTGTCTTATAAAAAATTGAAATTAAAATAAAAAATATATTATAAAATAATACAATTATATAATTTGAATATATTAAAATCCAATATATAATTTATAATATTGTATATATAATATATAAAATGTATATATATAATATATAATATATTACGTCATCACAATTTGACCTTGGTTGAACCTCTCCCTTTTCTGAGTTGATGTCTAGCCCGATTCTCTAAACATTGATATTTATTATATATTTTAATGATAAATTTTAGCTTTTATCGGTAGTCTTCTACTAACAAACGAATTTAATTAAGAATTAAAATACAAATTTATATGACAAACACTTGCGGTATGGCATAGTGGTGGGCTTGTAGTCGTTACAAATAAATGACTAGGGTTCAAATCCCTTTGTCTTTTATTTGTGATTTTTAATAGGCAAGTTAGTGGCATGTCAAATTCAAATTCGAATTTGAACATTACCTTAAATGCACTATTCAATTTGGCCATGAGGATGAGGTCACTCGAGAGCAAGAGAGCTAAAGAGCAGGAGTGAGCAAGATGCCTTACCTAGAAAGGGACACCCCTATTTATACTTGAACTTGCCTTGGGAGTGGTTGGAGGTGGTTGGCAATGGGCGGCCAGGATTGCATCTGGTCGATGCCACGTGGCACCATCTTGAGCCTTGCCACATGTGCCTACATCATTTTCCACACGTGGCACCAGCCTGGCCCAACCCCCAAACGGGCTTGAACAGGTTTTTTGGCCTGTGGGCTTAACCTCGGGCCAAAAAGCCCGGCCCGCATAAAATTCAAGCCAGGCTCGGGCTTTGCCAAAATAACCCGGCCCAAGCCCAGCCCGGCCCGACCTATAGTTAAACCTAAGTAAAAACCCTATGTGATGTCCATTTGAATAAATTTTTTGATTTGAGAATGTTGTTGATTCACTTGTAGGCCCATTGTTCATTTAAATAGGGGAAAAAACATCTAAATTAAAATAGAAAATGTCCATTTGAATAGGGAAAATTCAAATTTCTTTTATTAGGTCGGGCTTCGGGCTTTTTATCAGGGCCGGGCTCGGGCCCAAGTTGTATGCCCGTTGGTCGGGTCGAGCTCGAGCTCAAGCCTAACATTTTTCTGTTAATAAAGAGTCAAAGCCCGGCCCAAACCCGGCCCATGAACAGGTTTATTTGCCACCCCACTCTCGAGGTCGTAATGGATGATGTCCGATAGAGGGCTGAGCGAAGACCTCGGCTTTGGCCGAAGAGAGTGCAACAATATCACTAGGAAGCGTTGGATGGTGCGTCAGGCGAGGACCTCGGCTTGGTTGAAGAGAGCATCATCTAGAAGTGCAGAGGCGTCGGCCTCAACTGTTGGAAGCTCCCCTTGGCCATCCAGTGGCGGTTGCTTTACACTTGACTACGCCTCTTAGGAGGTTCATGGAGGGCCGAGGATGCGGAGCTGTGCCTTGTACAGGCGTGAGGTGTCTATATTCGTTGGGCGTGCCCTTCATGGGTGCGATTGTGGATCCATATATGGGACGAGCGTTGGCATCAACTGATCGTGGTCGTACACAAGACAGGCGATCGGGTCATCCGGGTTGGGTTGGTGGGAAAACCGACTGACTTGCTCGGCATCATTTCGTACTCCTGAGGTCGACAACACGTGGCACGCGTTGATTCAGGCTGTCAGGTCAGTTGCTTCGCAGTCGTTGGATCAAAATGATCCGAGTCATTCATTCTTCTTTAAATAGGGTCGCTAGTTGAGACAGTCGCTACCATTTGCTTGCTTTTGCTCAAGTCTTCAAAGACCATGGCCACCTTCTAGTCGATCCCTTAGCCTTCTTCTTTGACTCAAACTACTAAGTAAAGGACTTCTCCTATAGCCTTGTCTTACTCTGACTCTGGTCCCGAATGCTATGAGCTTCTTGACCTTTCAGACGCTAGCACGCCCCGTTCTTCCTCGTTCAGTAGTGAGAGTTTTAGAAGTGGGTCCGAGGGCTTGCTTCGGAAGCCTGAAGTCTAGGTACTGAGGGACAGAACTGCTCTTGGAGGCGTCGAATGCGACCGGCAGGGCAGTGAGTCTCCCGATGAAAGTACTGGTGCAACAAGGCTAAGGGGTGATGCCGCTAGGAACGCCTTGGAGATACCCGAAGTGATGGAGTCTGAAGAAGTCGAGGACCTGAGCCCTGAAGATATAGTCAAGGCTGAAGGCCAAGGCATTACCTTGATCCGCTATCTACGCTCTGACGTAGATAGCGAACTCAACGAGCAAGTGAGTCCCTTGCTAAGATGTACCATATCCCCGGGAATTACAGACTTAGAGTTCCCAACGTAGGTGATAAGCAGTGGTAGCCACCCAAGGGGGAGGTGTGCGTGCATGAGCACTACCTCCACTTCGGCCTCTGATTCCCCATTCCTCCTCTCATCTCTGAGCTCTTGAATTGCTACAACATATCCCTTAGTCAACTTGCCCCCAACGCCGTTGGGAATATCCTTGTCGTCTTGGTGATGGCCCACCTTCGAGGTGTCTACGTGACCGTGAATGTCAAGAAAGCACCCTGCTGGGGAAGGTCTTTTCTACGAAAAACAAATAAACCCATATTCATTCTCTAATAAAAGAACAATTCCCAAGTGGCTTGTGGCTTATTTACCCATAAAAGAACACTAATAAATGTTCTTATCCAAACAAATGTTTTCCAGATAAATACATTTACGCAAATAAACCAGTTACCAAACACAAGCGATGCCTAAATAGATTTGACCAATCAAAACCCTTGTGAATTTTGAGGAAAATCCATTTGATTGGTTAACACTTCTACGATGATTTTGCCACGAATTAATATTTTAGAGAATGAAACAACGCAACCTTCATCAATTCAATACCTTCCCCGTGCTCAAAAATGGTGCAAGCAGGGCACCTTTGACACCAGAATTGAGAGCACTATGGGTTTAGGGGACGACACCTATCAGTGTTTTTGCAACATGAGCATCTGGCACAAGAATGGTCCTGATTTGGTGATACTCCCACTGCACCAAGACTTCCAAAGGGATCGACACAGAGACATTAGCTTATTTAATATGCATTCAGCTCTGTATCACAATTCACAGCACAACACAACGCACACGCAAACCCGAAACCCGGAAATACAGAACCTAAGACCTACCAAACTTTGTCCATCAGGCTTAGACAACAAATTACATGGGGACTTGCTATTATTATTACTATTTTGGAGTCAAAGTGCGTTAGAATACTACAACTCCACCGGAGAAGGAAAATGTTTCTCTTACATATTAATAGATAGATACATACAGTTATCTTTTGTTAAAAACATGATGTTTTTTCCTTGTGCAAATGAATCTTTGCATTTTCTTAGAAATCAAGAAAAACCAATGCATACATGCATACTGCCCCGTATCCTAATTTATGCTATGCAATTTGAGAAAATGAAAACTTAAAATATGAACTTTCGTGACATATTTGAAACAGAATTATTGAAAACCCTGAGATATTCACATATGCAAAAGTTTACCAACGTCAAGCAAATTTTTAGTGATCTTTAAAACCATGCATAAAGCAACCATCTCCAGAGATTTAAAGAAAGACAAAAATACATGGGAACCAGCACTTTTTCTAATCTTGAGTAAACATGATATAATTAACAGCAACAAAAAGTCTCCAAACAGAATTCTTTTAACTGTACAATAGGAGATAGCCAATATAACTTATTTTTATATCTAACAGAAGGAATAACTTTGTCAAACTCTCACTTATCAAAGAAACTACAGCAAGTACCCTTTCCAGTTCTAATTTCGGCACATCATCTCAAGTAAAAGGATCAAGTGGCGTTTACAGAAGTAAAATCACTATTCGTACATGGGCAAAATCAGTGGTCTGCATTGATTCCAAAGATTCGGACTTTGTGCATGTTGGGGAACTTGGCAACCACCAGAATGAACACCGCAAGAGTGTTGAGAGCAAGCATTGGGTGTTGGTAGTCTGTTGTATGTGAGGCTATCAAGTACCTGTTACAAAACAATGAGTGAATAAAGCATATGGTCCATCATCTGTATCACTTCATAACCATGCATGTTACCAAGTCTACCAACCCAAAAACCGTATCCATACTATATAAAAAGATACTTGTCTTGAGTTCCATGCAGGTCATAAAAGTTAAATCCAAATGCCATGTATCAGATATGGTTAACCCTTACTTGAAGGCATACATAGCACATTCTCTTACACTAGTTTAGACAAGGAGAAAAGATCAACTAATCAATAATTCAAGAACTTGCATCATTGTGAAGTTGGCATTTCATATTGCAATCTGATAAAGGGTTCAACTATGATACCGGAAGGACATGATATATAAAAAACTTGTGGCCAATCAACCGGTATCATAGACGTGTCAGGTGGTATTTATCAAAATTCACGGGTGGGTTTTGATTGTCAATCTCTTCTCATACCATGTCTTTCCAGTATCATAGATTTTCCCCCTAATCAAATATATAAACATAAACACTATGAAGGTAGAACACTAGCTTGACTTTTTTACCTACAACACTGCTAGCTATAGGGCAACAATAATTTTAATAATTACAAAGACTACAAATTTATAAGAATGAAGCAGTTTTTAATACTCCAACACAAATCCTAAAACTACAAAGACACTTCTAATCCAAGAGTCAAATGATGATGATGATGATGAAGACGACAACGACAATGATGATAATTTTTGGACCAGGAATATCATCATGTTTTAACCGTGTTAACGTGCCGGGACAGATAATTTAATAACTATTCTAATAACGCCATACCTAAGCTATAATACCTAGATAACTGTACAAGGCATCATGTTGGATGCTTGAATTTTTTGTATAAATTTCATATCTGATAAGATTAATACCAAATCTAGTTGTGCCACGCAAAAAAGAAGGACTATGGTAACATAGAACTAGAGCTAAGCTCTAGTTATCCAAAAAGAATTTGTCCACTAAGAACACAAATATCAACACAACTTATGGCTAAGCATAGGTTGAATGACTATGGTACAGCAGAACTCTGTCGGCAACTGGTATGGCTTATGACTCAAAAACAATTACAGCACAACTTTTAGACAAGCAAGGCAGTTGGATAATGCATTGTATAGTTATCTCTAGGAACCATGTTACCATTGGCACAGTTTTTCAATAACTCAACCCAATCCTCCCAAAACAATGAACAAAAAAATAAAATAAAATAAAACCCATGGTATTCTAGGGCTGCAAGCAGCATCCATTTGTCTTGAGTTTTTTTTTTTATCAATAACACCATCTTCATTAAATTAAAAGAAAAGAGGGAATATGGATACAAAAGGGGAGATAAAACAACTTAGCTCCCCAAAAACAGAAAACAAAGGAAATGCAAAGAAGAAAGATTAAAAACTAGCCCAAAAAACAGACTCCCCATTCACTCCTTGCTTGGCCAACCCATCCCGCAAATGAGTTGGCACTCCTCTTCACCCAGCTGTACTGAATCTCAATGTCCCTACCCAGCCATAAGAACTGTTTTTCTTCATTGTTAAAGTTCCACAAACCACTGTCCTCTGTCTTCAACCAACTAACCACCACCTTCGAATCACCTTCCGGGATCAAACGGCTGATATTTAATTCCTTTGCTCTTCGAATTCCTTCAAGCGCTGCAAGGATCTCAGCCCTAAGAGAGTCACCTTCTCCAATAGGGCCAGAGAATCCCTTCCTCATTCCTAAAGACTCCTCCAATCCCAGAGGGCCCTGGATTTCTTACACTACTGCCATCAAAATTCAGCTTTATAAAGCCCGAGGGGGGAGGGGACCAAAACGRACAAAGAGTCCTCTTGCATCTAGCAATGGAAGCAATCTCTTTCTAGTTTCTTAGCAAGTCATCCACAGGAAAACCTAAAAACAACTCCATAGATTTTAGCCAGTGAACAGCCCTTAAAAGGATTCGATCTAACAATTCTTCCAATGTTCTTTCCTTGTCGGAAAAAATGCGTGAGTTTCTTTCTTCCCACAATGACCAGCATACCGCTGCCCTAATACACCTCCACATAGTCTTCCCTCGCTTCCTAGGCCAACTGAAAAAAGAAGGAGAAAACAAACCTTGGACAGTCTCCGGAGGATACCAAGA